TAGCATAGAATAGGCACCAATTGGCGCCAGCGCCAAAATTTTGATCTAGGTTCGAAAGTAGTAGTAAATAATGTCTCTTATTGAACAGTGAAATTGCTGTCTCTAGTTAACGTTGGATTTCATCCGTGTTCGAAGTTCTCTCTGGATTTTAGTTCGAGATACCCACAAAATCTCTCGTACAGGACGAATCCTGAGCTTTGTGTAATAGATTATGCTCAAATTGCTTCAGGGAAGGACGCTTTTATTGAACGACTCCTATTGATTGACTTATTATATTACTGGTAGTGACGGGGAGAACATTTTCAGATACTGCAAAGGTCGCATATGTTTTGGCTATTTATATTCGCCTTGATTGGTTCTTGCTTCTCCATGCGACAACAATCCGTCGCCGTACGCGGTCAGCTTCTTTGTGGAGAAAGACCAGCAGTTGGTGTCAAAGTGAAGCTGTGGGATGAAGATGACGGTATGACAAAGTGTTCGATTTCGCGATAATTACCTTCACCCCGATGAAGTCCTGTGGCTACTTCAGAAGTCATGGAATCCAACTCAAAATTGCTGTGAATAGAGTGGATAAGCGAAACTTGCTGGTTTAGCCGAATGCGTTCGATTTCGTCACCAAACCTTAGTCATGAACTGAAAATAGAGAGCAACTGACTATCAAAGTAGACAATAAGTGTGTCACATGTTACTTCATTATCATTATTATCATTAACCAGTTCGGCTGCGCACGCGCCCGCGTGCATCACAGGGAGCTAGAGTGGTGTGAAACAGGGCCATCCATATTTTTGTAACGCTTCCTCGCGAGCTTCGCTCACCTCGCTGCACGCTAACCTCCTTTTCGTTAAGACTCTTTCTACTTTCACAGTCTGCAGGAAATCATTGAACCGAGTTATAATGTTTTGTGGATTACTCTACCCTTTCCGGTGCACGACCCACCCCATCTGCGGCAGTAGGCCTCCTCTACCCCTTTTTCCCTGCCTCCGGGACTTGTGCGATTAGTCCATCCGTAATATATGAAAGTAGCAATAAATGCTTTGAACAAAGAGCAGTCAACAAAAGCGAATGCGAAAGCGTGTCACCACTGCCTTGGGCTGACACTTTTTTCGGCTCCACCGTGTAGCACTAATTTCGTGCGAACGAATGACTAAAAATGACAGCTCTCTTCCTCGAGAAGAAGCTTCATTCTGAGCAAGATGCCGTGCTCCGATCGCTATCCCACTTACCGAAGGTGGTCAAAGACTTTCACAAGGTAAGAGACAGCTTTTCCACCATTCGAATAGATGCAATCATGAGATGGCTCAGGAATTATACTGCTTACATGCTCAGAATTATACGAAGTTATACGAGTACCGTCTATAGTCGTCTTCTTGTTGCCAAGCTGATCGTTTGCATCTCCAAGCCCTCAGCTCCCATTGTCAGCCCGGGAGGTCGATCAACAACATCGTCGTCTGCTCGACAGATTGGATGCATGCCTAGCTTACAACTTCGCGTCCCAGGCGCTCTCACCGGTATGCCAGAATGGTCAAGCAGTACGATCTCTATCATATATCTGCAACCTGTGCTTGACAGAATAATCCGCAGTAAAAGTGAAGCGATCATCCCGTTTAGATAAGGTGTATGTTGTGCAGGTTTCATCACAGGTGATGAAGAAGGAAAGATACCGTCAAACGTTTTGCGTTATGGTTTTTGTGAAAAAGTACCAATAATGATTCATCCACGCTACTGGGGAGCTTGCAACACTTTCAAGAACTAAAGCATGTGGGAAGGGTACCAGGGGTTCAGTACATAGATCAGTGGTCACATGCATCAGTACTCGTCCGTTGATAGAGTGCCTGCTTCTCGCGTCTTGATAGTATTTCGGTCATTGCTTTCTTTTTTATGTCAATGGCTCACCACTTCGGTGTTCAGGGTTGTCTCAAGGAACGACTACACCTAGCGATCGTGGATAATTGTAATATAGATTGTGAACGGACAGAAAGCATCTTTTTAAGCAAAGAAAAAAAAGCGCAGCAGAGAGTTTTAGTCTAGGACTATTATATGGGAGTAGACCACTAATTGTGTTTAGGGCCGGACCCGGACGACGCATTGGACGAAATGTACACAGACGGAAATGGCAACTTTCGTCTCCAGGTGAGTATCTAGCTAACGGAACTTCTTATTTTTTCGTTCAAAATAAAATATACAATGTTGAGGTAGTTGCCGGAAAAGTGTTGTGCAGAGCGAAGGTTGTGGTATCACAAAAAGTGGAGAAGAAACTTCAAACAGAATATTTTATGAATAGAACTTGGAGCATCATCAAGCGGTCAATTAGAAAAGCGTATATAATCCTTCCATTACTACACTTTGATCGACTGCTTGGAGTTTTGTGCATGTCACTCTGTCGAACTATTTCTCGTTGCTCTCAAAAAATGACAGTTGTCCCCAAAACGTTGTTCATAACAGACGCTCTAAAAGTTGGGAAGTTTGGCTCGGGAGGACAACCAAAATTGGAGTTTCGCTGGTCTTGCTTTCTGAAACTGTGAGAATCTACAAGGTGCAATAAACTGTAGTGTTGATACACATTGCTGGACATCACCTCGCTTCGAATCAAGAAGCACTCTTCACAAATAAATCGTGCTCCTCCCTTAACTACAAAAACGCCCAACGTCGTTTTGAACGAAGAATTCTCTGTTTCTCCGAGTACCAGGTTGACGGATCATGGACTCCTTTCTTGCTGAGTGAGCATTCTATCTCTAAGTAAAATTGGTTTCTATTAGGATTCTATCCCGAAGTTCACCCACAAAAACATAGCATCCTATACTTTTCTGCCATACTATATTTTCCATTGTCATTTTATGCATTCTTTTTAGGGCTCCACTCGCGAGCTGACAAATATTGATCCTGTTCTAAAGGTTTATCACGACTGCGACGACGGCATCAAGGTACCTTAGCAATTTGTCTTTGCACAATTTCATTGCGAGAAACTTTGAAAGCATTCGAAAGTAAGGAACGGAGAACCAATTTTTTCTTCTTTCCCATGTGAGTGAGTTGTAAGCAATCATAGAAAACTTTGTGCCAAGATCGGCGCTAGAGAAAAGTCTGAAGAAAAACAGTAAAGTGCAATGCGACTTTTGAGAAGTTGAAAAAGGTACAAATATAAACAACGTGGCCGATAAGAGGAAAATCGTCGCCAATTGGAAGGTGCCAATAAACGGAACGTTGCCACTTGTACAGAACAAAACACCTCCACAACTTCCCAGCTTTTTTTTGCGTTTTTGTTCTGAAATAACTTTCGAAGTTTCACAGTTTTCTAATTAGAAATAAGTTTTTGGTTTTCCTCTAATCCTCGTGATGCAGTGAAATTACGGCCCCTGCTTCGGTAAAGATGACGTAAAATGATATCTCTACACGACGCCTTCAAATGGGTTTGTGTTCCTAACCTGCGCTTGTTTTCAGAATGGGTTGCTCATTCACTGTTTCGATAATTCGTTCTTTCAGCCTGGTCAGAGAAAACTGAAGTTTTACATTCCTGACCACTACATTTCTAGCGGAGGTAGACCAAGGAAAATATTCAACCTCGGCACTCTCAATCTGGAAACTATTTTCAAATGTGAGGAACGCGATCTTTTGTGAGGCACGGGGAAGTCGAAGACGGTTGCACGAACTCGCATTATACCAACGGACATTTTTATACTTGTGTGGGTGTTTTTTTGTTGCCTGTCGTTATTAAATTCCCGTAGCCTACTAATACATTAGGTTGCATATATTGAAGAAAGACTAAGGTCATTCAAATGTTTACCGGAGGAGATTAATGCTTTTATATTTGATTGTTCATTGAGCCTTCTAGAGATTCTTGTTCTTTTTTCTGTTGTCATATATAAAGCTTCTGAACTATTTCAATCTGTGCAATGTTAAAAAAGTATGGAAGGGATATGTGGTATGCGCACGCCTACAGCGCTTAAAATTAGGCGCTAACCCTAGATGCCTCTATACGAACTCTGTTGCCAACAATAGATTCTCAGTTTGCTCTAGACCGAATACTCGAGCAAGTACGTTGGTGTTCATCTGAAGTGAGAAAATCCATGACTTACCAGCCCTTTCAGCCCAGATGGCTGCAGTCTGTCGGCAGCGTAGTGCCTTACAAGCCACACTTAGGAAACAAGGGCTATTATTACTTATTCATTTATTTTTTATTTATTCGTAGACACAGAATATCTGCGTAGGAATCACAATAAAAGATTACAGTAGGAAACAAAGCGAGTGAGGAAACACAAACATAGGTGCAACATTGTAATGATCTAGGATGGGCACACTCGTGGAAAGCCAATAGGTAACATATGCATATCGATAAATCAACCGTGTTTTTACTGTTTCATAAAACTTCCGCTTTGATAATGGCTCTTCAGCGAAATGAACCAAAGGAGTAAGTGTAGCATATCCCGGTTTAAAATTTTATTCAGGAAAGGCAGTATTCTGATTGCAAAAACTTCGCTTTGACCTGATATCTCACTACAGCTCGATTTATTTTTTTATTATTTTTATGGTACTACCATTAGTCCCATATCGCACTGGAGTCAGAAAGTGTGTGGGATCAACAGCTGCTCTTCGAATCAGAATTTTGAGTGCCATAATGATATCGGTGACTCGGTGACGGTTTTTTTTTTCAACCAAGGAGGTAAAAGCTACATAATATCGGTGGATTCCTCCTGCCTTGGTAAAAACTCGTAACATAGTCCAACCGAAGGCTAAGTTTCAAGTGAAGTTATTCTGTGCACGTTCTAGCAAAACAATATCCTCTTTTCTTATGGGGAGAGAATACAGTACTACCAGATTCAACTATTGGCTTACATAGGCTTTATAAGCTTTCAGTAATACTGTTGAGTCTTTCGTCTGGAGCGCTTTGAATAAATTGAAAACTCTATCGTTTGCTTTGAAAACCAGTGATTTGAAGGCAAACCCCGGGATTAGCCCGACTAGTAGGAGGGATACCACGAGGGAAATTGTAAGGTCCGTACTACCTAGATCACTCCAGCTTCGTCGCAAAAATTGCGCGGTTAGGGCGCTAATCCTTACGGGCCTGCAACCATCGACTCCCGTTCCAACGCTTCCCACCCACCGCGAGAGGTGGTGAGATCAGCGTGCATTGATGTAGAGATCAGCGTGCTCTCTCAAACGACGTGCTCTCTCGCGTATTTTGTCTTCTTTGACCGCCCTTTCTCGCCATCGTACCACATCCGACCCTATTGAAGGTTAAGGCCTTAATTTCAGCGTTCCCAAAGATTTCTCTTGCTTTCCTTTCCACTTTCAGGTCGTTCCGCAGCTAAGCTATCACCACAAAGCGCTGATAGCACCTGTTTAATCCCGGAGTTTGCCTTTAAAGCGTGTGTCAAAGCCTAATTCATTAGTGAAAGAAACCAATGTCTTCAGTTTCATTAACCGACTCCGAGTTTTTCTTTCATTCCTTTTCATTCCATGAGGTCTCTTCTACATCATAATCGGTTTTTATTTCGAATTTGCTTGGCATGATTCGTAAACATTTCACTGAAGTAGCACTAAACCACAAAACGAGCAAAATATGGACTGGCGGGGGGACCAACAAGTAGGTAAAGTAGATGAGATGCGAGTAATCGCGACTAGTCGATTAGGACGAGACGCGGTACTCGTATTGTTGCGGTAGTGATGTAAACGACGCGGCGACCGGACGACGAGACGATCGGACGTGACGAGTGATAGCAGATGATTATCCGGACGCGACGACTCAAAATTGGAGTGGAAGTGGGATGGTGGGGAAACCAGCGGCATGTCTGTGACGACATGGTGTCGCGGTCGGTCGAAGATCGGCGACAGCAGTTGACAGCAGCAGACCACAAGCGGTGTTGGTGCAAAGCAGGAGCAACAAGAGTGAGAGCAACGTATGAGCAGCAGCAACAGCGCAACCACAAACAATCCAAATAATAGAAAGCGGCACGGTGGGTACACGGTGAAGTGTGTTTGGTGTGGTGCGGT